CCTCGGCGGCGCGACTCAGTTTGCGCGCCGTGATTGCCAGCGCGCCGGCCCCTTCTCCTCCCAAGAACCCATCTCAGGGGGTTCGTTGCAAGTGAGCAGGAATTGCCGGATTTGGAGGAATCGGATGACGGCTCTTCGTGTTCTTCGCGGCTCCTGCGGCGATCACGGCCGGCGCTGCGGCTGCGATGGCTGCGGCCTCGCCCTCGCTCTCTGCCCGGGGCCGGACCTCTTGGCCCACATGAAATGATCTGGAGTCGGGTTGTGGACAGGCCGCTGCCCTGACAAAGCTTGCCTTTTGGCCCGACGCGGTTAGCGAAAAGACGCACAAACAGCTGTCACAGGCTGTATGGAAGTTGCAGATGAAACCACAGATGTGATGGATCGACCACAGCTTTGAGCCCATTTCATTACAACTGAGACTCGAAAAGTTGCCCGAACCTTGTCTTAAGCATTCCCACACTGCCCAGTCTTTGAGACAGTCAGCTTCCGGTATGTTGACGAGGAAGTACAAAACCCAAACCAACCCTTGGCCTGGCAAACCGTGTAGGAGGAGCTCGGGCAGCAGTGGAAAAGGATGGAGCTCAGCGCGTGCGCAAGGACCGGTGCGCGAGCGTCCTGTTGGCAACAGATCCGTCGGAATAGAGGGACAAGCTTGCATAGTATACGTGGACAAGTAGCCGCTGCTGGTCCTACGTGCATTAGGCAACAGCAGGGGCAACAGCAGCAGCAGCAGCAGCAGTGCTCGGCTGGAAACTTCCTCATCATCTGCACCAGAAGTTGCCATCGGCTGCTCCTGGCAGTTTGCAGAACCCAGTCGAGCAACAGCTCGCTCTTGCTGGGCATTTGAAACTGATGAGAGCGTTGGCACGAAGTGACACCTCCCTGGCCTTCTGCCTCTCCACGATCGGCTGCGACTCGCCTCCGAAAAGCAGCTGCTTCACAATGAAGGCCTCTCGTCACGGCGGATCTTTGGAAAGGACGACTCTCTTCTCCTGTTGAAGCTGGAGCCAGTCTCAGACTCTGAAACACGGCCCGAAGGCGTCACACCAGGCCTGGAACCCTACTCAGCGCCGTAAGCTTCAATGTGCTCAAGTAATCTTCTGACTACAGCCTTTACCAGGCAGGGGCACTTCACCTGCATCCAAAGCACCGTGCCTGAACTGGCGCGAATACACCACCTGTCTCGGTGCAACAAGGCGGTCAGGTGAGACACTGCCTCAAACCTGGCGTGGCCTCGGGCTTCAACACACTCTACTCAATGCAACAACAGTCGTACAACACCGTAGAACCCCCTCTCTACACCCTTAACTCGGGCGAGGGGCAAGGCCCGCCCTGCTTTTGCCAAAGGCCCCACTCCAGACCCGCACGTTGGCTCCACCTCGGCTGAGCGCTGATGGCACATTGCACTGGAGCTTGGGATCCGCATCGGGGAATCTTCAACAGAAGTTTGCTTCTGAATTGTCCACACGTGTACCGGGAGAAGGCTTTGAAGGCTTTTAGATCCCGAGGGTTGCAGGGTGACGGATGGGACACTTGCAGGTCTGCCCTTGCGTACATGGGCAAGATCCAGACGTCCCGTCGAACTCCTCATCTGCCGTCTTGCTGCCCCCACCCCCAGAACCGACTTGCCCTCTCTCCAGTGGACTCTCCTTCTCTCCCCCTACTTCGCCACAGCCCAGGTAGAATCGCCACAACCTCATCGGCCAGGAAGCGACCCCTTTCGAACCTATCCGGGTCTTCGGCAGTCTTCCTGAAACCATCGTGGAGTCACACTGAGATCCTTTCCTGCTAGGATTCGCTGGAAAAACCCTGCGTGAGTGCCTGCAACGCCGACCTGCAACAGGATCATCTTAAACGGCATCAAGGCCTTCCTTCCATGGGTTTCCCTCTCTATTTCCTTCTCCTACCTAAGTCCCCCGGCAAAGGGGCGGAGATTGTGGACAGTTGCCGATGCCGCCAATGAGCATCAAGGTCTCTCCCTCATGCTCGAGGTTCTTTTCCTTCTCCTCGTCTTTCTCTTTCTTCTTTCTGTTTCTCTTGCTCACAGTATTCTTCCACCTCGGTTGCACCAACCTCCCTTTTAGCTTAGCAGGCTGCAGGCTTAAGTTGACCGAAAACTTCGCAGTTCCCGAGCTTCTGGGTAGTGGCTGTTTTGGAGACTTGCCAGCACGAGTAGCTGGAATCCCACCGACAGCCAGCGTTCCACATCTGCCGCCTTTCGAACACTTTGCAATCTCGAAGCCTTTTGAAGGTCTTTAGAAGTTTAGAGTTGCAGAATTTAGAGTTGCATTCAGAAAACACAAGCAAAAACGCTCTTCTCATCAGATCGAGACCAGAACGAGACAGCTCAGAACCTAAAACTGACATCCACCGCAACCGGCAGAGCCTCGGGGCTGTCACCGAAGAGGAGCCTCAAGAGCTCCTGAACGAGACGGGCACATTTGGGGGAACTGCGTTGGCCTTCTCCGAATTGATTAGGTGTGACGAGCCCCAAATTTACCAATCACGAGGCTGGCATTGGAGGTTTGGGAATGCGAATAGAACTCGTTACCCTGCTACGCAATGTCTGCCCAAAAACACGACTCAGTATTCGGAGAGTCAGAAGATTCAAGAAAAGGCAAGCTGCGCCGAGAGGTTCGCCAACGGCCGGAGTGGCAATTGGAAGGAGGCTTTGGGCTTAGCTTCTTGGCAGCATCTCTCTGCAGACGGGCTTCGGCGATTTCCCCATCCATTTCCACCTCGGCGCCCTCTGTCCGGGGTTCGCCGCCTGTCGAAGCTTCGGGGCGGCAGCCGCGATGCCAAAATGGATGCGTATACGATACTCATGGAAGCGCCCCAGCCATCAATCCGTCATCGAAGCAACGCATTTCCATCAACCCCCGAACAATCGCCAGCAACCCATATGTTTACTTCAGAAAAGTCACGCTTCTTCTTGGCAGAGGCACGGCAAGGAGGGGACAGCACATCCTAGGCCACGATCTCGAGTCCCACGCAAGATTGAATAGTCCTTGATGCCCTCTTGCTATCTAGCAAGTCGCCTCTAAGACTCTGAGACTCTAAACCAAAGCCACGTCCTAAAGTGTGTCTCAGAGCTGTGCTTCGAAACGCAAGCAGTTCCCAGCTCGTCCTGCGAGTCTTTGTTGGGGAAAGTCCGCGGCCGCGGCCGGCCAGGAGGGGGGGCCGAGCGAGGCGCTGCCGGCGAGCCCTTGAAGGCCAGTGAGGAAGCTTCGGGGCCTGAGGTTTGGGGCTTTTCAGCAGCTGGGCATTGCTTTTGTTTCGGACGTTGTCCTTCTTACATTGGCTCTCCCCCAAAATCGCACGTTGACCGATCGGTTCTCTCAGCCGGTCTGCGAGCACGTTGTGACCCCGAAACAGGGCTCGCCAACGGCCTAAGCTGAAACCATCGTCACCCGCAGGTCGCGGACAAGCAGGTACAAGCAGCAGTTGTGCATGGTCTTTGTCTTTAAACCCGCCGTGCCAGAGTCGGCAAGTTGAGCAAGAGCAGCCACACGAGTTGGCAACACTCAGGCTCCGAAGTGGAGCGTCTCTAGATCTTTGTAACCCAAACAAGTCCAATTTTAGGCGGGTCGATCCGGGGTGAGTACAAGAAACAGATGCTGAACAGCAGCAGTTCCGAAGCATCGCAGATCGCGACAAACCCTCCCTCAGAGTCCGGATGACCCGCCACATCCCGCCGGCTGAGCGCTTAACGCATGTAAATTTTCCGTGATTCAAACTCATCAAAAGCTCAGAACCTGCGATCCCAGCGACTCGGGTTCCAGCACAACGAAGTTAGTGGGTGCTCTCCCTCCAGTGATAGCAACAGTGAGCGACAGCTCCAGTGACAGCAACAGCGACAACGAAAAGAGGAAGACGACGAGGGAGAAGAACCAGAACTAGAAAAACAGTCCACTTTTCATGCACTGCAAGAGCTGCCGCGGGGGGTCTGAAAGAAGTCCTGCCACGGCGAAACCCCCTCAAAGTCCTACAGCAGGGCTCCGATGCGGGCAGGACGACGAGCAATGGCATGGGTAGGGCGGCGGGAACGCAACCAGAAGGCGCCCGTACTTCTTCGTTTGTTGTATACACCGCAAGGCACGCAGAATCACTGCGGACCTCTTTTTCTAAGCGGTGTGCCTCTGTCCTGGCACCGCCAGCCTCTTCAAGGGACAGCTGCATCGCGGCCTGCAGCTGTTCCTTCAGCAAAGTATCATGTAACCAAGCCCTATCCCGACCACCTTGCTGAGACATGAAGCACTCCATGAGTAGCAAGGTGGAGGCACTGGATACCTCGAATAACAATGTTGCCCGGATCCTCCTCCGTCATCTGTGAAATGTCCATGGCTGCAAGATCCAGCTGCCGAAACTCTTACTGCAACGTTTCGATGCTCGGTATGGTGCCTCCGCTGTTTCGGGCGTCGGGGTTGAATCTCAATCGAGGTGGAACCCGCTATTTTCGTGAAGAAAAATTTCGGATATTCCACATGGCCTGTCTACTTCACGGCAGCACTGCTGGTGTCGGCAAAGTTCAGAGGACCTGGTAAATGCGGGCATCCTCACCCCTCCTCGTCTTTCGGTTCCGCAGGCCTCTTCGCAACCGAAGGCATGGGAGACCTTTCTTCCGAATCGTGCTGAACACCTAAACCAGCCAGGCGGAGATAGATATGTGCTTTTTGGAGTCAACCGCCCAACGGGAGGCCAACGCCTGGCTTTGCCAGCGTGGCCGTGCCAGGGGCACACATTGGTGCCCTCCCTCATTTCAAGAGCCCACAGATGGAAGTTGCAGTGCTCACCGTTAACAGCCACGCGCAGCAGAGCAAGGAGCTTACATTCTTGCATAGGAACTAAACTGCAGGTAGCATCCCGTCCCGCAGTTTCTTTGCTGGAGTTGTGCACCTCTGCGAGCCTTTGAACGCCGTTGCTTCGGGATCTCATGGCTCTGCTCCCGTCTACGTGCGAGTGGAGGCATCATACACAGATGCCTTAAATACAACGCGGCCTCAATCACGCGGGAAGGATGGGAAGCCCATCTCCCTTGCTTTCTCATCGGCTGTGTCGAGATCCAGGTCCGACACCTGCGCGACTTTCGGCATACGGCAGGTGCTCTTAAGGCGGAAGTCACTCAAAGGGCCCCGGAACTCAAACGAGCAGCGCTCACAGAAAACCTCCATCACGGATGCAGGATTGGATTCCAAAACAGCCCACTCGTACACCTGCTTCGCCTTTGGATCTCTTCGCTGCACCCAGTGGTGCCACTACTTGTGCGCTGTACATGGCTGAGGATTGGTGGCCCACCTCGATGCCTGACTCCGTGAGCCAAGCCTGAAGACCATCGGTGCTCCAGACGACCCCGGGTCCTGAAGGAGTGATTTCCCTTGAACCTACCTTTCGCAGAGTTGAAATCTTCTCCTTACACTCAGTTGGCGATAGGAGCCTTCGACTCATGAGTCCCGGCTCCTGATTGCTGATCGTGGTCGTAGTTGGATACCAGGACGCGGCCGTCCGAGTACCAGTACCTCAGGAGGTTCTCTTCGAGCCGGAAATGCACTCACCCACGGAAACTGACAACCTGAGTCTGACCACCGCAAGGCGGCTGCGGGGAGTTCTGCAGCCTACGGCGCAACACATGCTCCTGCTTGCTTTGCCTAGGGCCTACAGTCGCAGGAACTAGTCGAACAACACCAGCTTCAGTCAAGATTGTTTCGGCCATGGCACAAGCCGGAACCATGTTTCCGGCCTTCCAGGTACTGGCCCTCGTGACAATCGCCATCGGCATATCGGTAGATGCCCTGGCCATGCTTCCTGGTTGCCATGGACGGTTACAACGGGTCTGGGACACGGGGCTCCGGGACCATCTTGCGGTGCCGCTTACTCGACTTTTCGTACATGCTGTGACCTTTCTGATACGAGCAAATGAATTCTCAGCTGCAGCCCACGCTGCTTGTGATTCTGGTATTCGCCCTGGTAGCTGTCTCCAGAGCAGTAGTATTGTGCTCCTTGACCATGCTTTTTGCCCTGGACCCACTGGCCCCGGTAAAGGTCTCCACCATCCGCATAGCACATCACCTCGGCTGCCCCGCGAGCACGTGCGGCCTTGAAGCCTCGGACTTCAACCCCGCAAATCAAACAATCGTTCACCAACCTGCGAAGTCACACCCTCGCCATCTGGCTTACCCGGGAGGGCGGACTTGGGCGTCAAGACTTCCACATCAATGAGCTGTCCCACCTCGTGTCGAGAACTGAAGTGGAACAGACCCCTCCCGACACCTTTCCCCCATTCTCGGCCTTGTCCCTGACCTGACCCTGGTAGTGGTTTTCTTCGCCAGGGAGAAAGTGGTGCTGGGAGCGCAGCAGTTCGCGCCAGTCGCAGAGCCAGCTCAAGTCTTGCTCCAGGTGGTAGAAAGCACCTCGAAACTTCCAGTTCAGCTTCTGCCTTCCTCCTAAGAACCGCTCTCGGCCAAAGGCACCAAAGCAGAGCCGGACTTCGAAGATGTGGCCAGTGGCTTGCAGCTTGCAGTTCAAAAGGACATGCATGGCATACTCCCCATAGTAGGCCTTCCTTCGGTCGAAGCAACCCGCTGACAGCACATGCAGAAGCTTCTGACGCTTGCAAAACAATACAAAGCACCGAAAGAGGTTTCAGGGACATCATCGCCGGGTGGCGGAGTCAGTTTGTTCCAGAGACGGACAGTGATGACTCCCCTGGCTGCCAGGCGGTCGTACACCTCGCACATCTTCCAAGCATCGTTCTCGGGCACGAGGATGGAGAAAGACAGGAAGCTTGAGGTCTTGCTGTAATCCTGTTGCAAGCAAGCCGTTTCTCTCCACCATCATCACGCTTAGCAAGGGGCTGCTGCACCCTAACAAAAATGAACTTTGTGCTCGTCCACATGATCACTTGAACATCCTCGTGCCTTCATGGAACAAGATCGGCATGAGTAAACAGAAACGGCTCTGACAAGAAAACTTGCGCAATTCTCCTTAGTAGCAAGAGCCTGAACCTGCCTCCATTGGAGCAAGAAGTGGGAAATTTCATGTCTTGTTGCAGGGACATACCTACATACCTGCGAGAATTGGCCAATGGATCTTTGCTCGCAACCAGCAACAAGAAAACATTCTTTTTCTCGACCTCTGACCTGGCTTGTCCATGCGCGTACAAACTTCAGCCTAAGGAGAAAAAAGGTTCAGCATGGCAGATTGCTCACAGTACGCCTGAAAGGCTTCCAGTTAGTTGAGACCGTTTTTGTTGCTGCTAGCCGTGCTAGCCCAGTCGGACCCTCGGAACACGTGGATTGACAGATAGATGATTCTCGATGTAGCACACCACCGTCTCAACAGACTATCGACAACTCTCCATGGATGGTACAAAGTCATGTAGACCTTCAGCCGAGCGCGCTTGATGGGATGCCCAAACTGAGAGACACGTAACGAACACGCCGAAAACTGGCTCTCAACCTCACGAGAAACGAGTTGGGACCTTGATCGACTGTCGGTCGCAGGCCGCGCACGCAGTGGCCCGCATTACGCGTCCGGCGTTCGCAAAGCTGAAAAGCACCTGAGTGGCGGATAGGATAGGAGACGGGGCAGCGAGAAGTTCGGCAGGTGGGACATCGGCCATTTGGCAAGCTCCTGGTGCCTCATACTGCGGTAATACTACGCCAGATAAGTCCAAAACAATATGATGCTGTGCCATTTATCCCAGTACTGTATCATGGTATAGTCTCCATCACGCCCTGCATCACGGCAGTCCATCATCCAATACTGCATCAGAGCCAAAGCGTATCATGCACTATACTATAAATACTAAAACGGTACAATAACTTCTCTAAGTGTACGATACATCACGGACATGCCACGTCCAAAAACCTCGAACACTTCTAGGCCTACGTAGTCCATTTCCTCTTCACAGGTGCTGCATCGGCTTCAAGACCCACGTCCTCAACTGCCGCCTGCAGGAGGCTCCTTGGCTAGCGGCTCATAGCGGCTCGAACCCTGGCGGAACGAACAGATGTTGCGCAATGTTGCGCTTTTCGCGTCCGTCTATCCTTAGGCCCGACTACTTCGTGCGAGTAGCCAGGCAGCAGGGAAGACTTTGTGCGCTGCCTGGTGCCGCTCTCACAATGTAGCAAGTATGCAGGTATGTAGGTAGGTCGATCGCTCGGTCGGTAGGTAGGGATGTCCATGGTACCTCCTGCTGTGTCCACCCTTGGGAGGCCGAGTGCTGCAAAAGCTCGATTTGGCACAGACATGACTACGAAGATGAACAGATGCACATGGATGCCAAGACTTGGCACTTTTCGAAGCTACGCCAGCTCAACTGGTGGACAAGCCAGCAGGAACATGGAAATGTATCCATGTAAGCACCATTGAACACAGGATGTTATGTTTCATTGCTGCGAGCTCTTCTCCCTGTACACACGAGAACTTATAAATTCATGCATGGATCGGCCCAACATGTACAGAGAGAGAGAGAGAGCGAAAAAACACAAAAGACAACACATGGGAAACCCTTTTTGTGACCCCGGGCTAGCACTGAGTCTGCAGATTTCCAATCAATAACCCACCATAAGGAGCCTGGTAGTTCAGCTGCAACGATGCCATGGCTTGGGTGGCTGCGGCATTGCGCCTGCCAACTCACGGAAGGCTGAGGCTGCAAGCATAATCAATCATCAGCAGTATCGGCTGGACAAGATATCTTATTGAAGCTAGGTTCAACTGCACCACGGGCAACCTCCCATTTGCGGAACTTCAACGAACGAAAGCCTTTTTCAGGTGATTTTGGGCCCTGGCGCGCGGGGAACAGACTGGAAACACCCTGAAAACTCTCCAGAGATCCTCGGAGGATACACAGACGTCGTGACAAGAAGCGAATGAAGGTGAAGATGGGTCTGCGAACGATATGCTTGTGGCTGCAAGGAGAAGGAGCTTCAAGGTACATTGATTCATGGCAGCCAGGATGCGCTGTCCAAGTATCATCTAGGACTCTCTGATACCGAGCAGAGTGCAATGCTCAACATGCTTTCACTGAAACGTTTGCCGTCTGTAGCATGAGGCATAACTTATCTTGCCCTCTCCTCCTATGGTCGCGATCTCCTTCCATTGCCGTGCATCATCATCGCCATCATCATCATCGTCGACGTGAATCATCGGCGTCATCATCACCATCACGAGGGTCGCGCTTTCAGAGTTGAGGGTTTCAGGTGCAGTTTACCCTCTATTGCTTGTATAGCTGGCATGCGTCTTGTCAACTTGCCAGCTTGCTTGCCTGCTTCTCAGGGTCTCAGGACAAATGAGGGCAAAAAACTCAAAAATGTAACAAGAAAAAGTGCAGGACTTTGCATTGCTTCGCTGGAAACTCGGTAGTGCCCATGATGAATCGCTGAGGTAAATGCACCCGTAAATAGGCCCAAAAATACGAATCGTTGTTCAACGCAGTGGAATCGAACACGAGTAGGGTGAGAAATACCTCTGGAAAAACTTGGGAGACTGAGTTCTCGAGTTGATGGACAACGAAACGGACGGTAGGAACCAATTCCTGCCAGAACGTGTTCAAGACTGCCCACCTGCCTCTCTTGCTCGGTGCGAAAATAGCTCCGCACACCATCCAGCGACAAGCCAGCAGCCTCTTCCACATGCCGGGCGCAGTGTTCGAAACTGAGACGGAAGGCGATGTCTTCGTTAAACACCAAGAATCCTGGCATGTGACAGTATGACTTGACATGTCAAACTTGATCCGAGACTTTAGTCGAATTTCAACCAATGACAACAACAGCAGTTCCAGAATTGACCAAGATTCTCAGTCTGCTCATTCCCCCAACCATTCCGACGCCATACCTGCGTTCACGCACTGCCTGCACTGTTGCTGCGCCCAACGCAGTGCTTCATTACCATCATGTGCATCCAAGTTTCTGCGTGAGCCAGCCCATGTCTAGCTCGTGGAGGCCCGCAGCGTTGAAGCCCTCCTCATCCACGCACTTCTCCAGCGCTTTGTGCTGTCTCTCGTTGTCCTTTCGGAAAACCGGAACTCTCGCCCAGCCATCCCAAAGTGCCCCGGCTTGCGGTCCAAACCTTCGAAACCCCGCCTAGGCCTAGCAAGACCTTTCGTCGCTGCTGACAAAGGGGATGCAAGTTCGAACGAACTTCCGGCCCTTCAGTCACTGCTGCAGGAACTTCGTGCCTCCGACAGCTGGCAGTGTGGATCAAAAGGAGGCCCGTTCCGACAGGCCAGGGGGTAGACGTAGCTCCGTAGAAGCCGAGCCATAACACCTCTGACTTCGTCGTTTACTCCTCAGACTGCCGAGCTCGACCTTTGAACTACTGTTGCTACCACTTTCATGGTAGCGGAGCCTTGCTAAGAGCAGGGCTCGGAACAACGATCCGGGGAAGGCTCCAGGCCACAGTGGGCTGGAGATTCAATGAGTGGAGCAACAGAAACTACGTCTTCGCATGCTGCTCGTACGAAGGACGGCATCCCAACATGGGGAGGGGAGGCCAGCAGTTTTGTGCAGTATGAGGAGGCGGCACTTTTGTGGGAGCAGTCCTTGACTTGGGAGAAGAGGTATACGGCAGGACCGCGATTAGTCCAGGAACTGACTGGAGCTGCGAAACGATTCGTGGCGGGACAACCAGCAGGCTGGGTCGCATGGCGCGGCGGCGTGACGGTCCTTATGGACCACCTCAGGAAGGCCCTGGGGAAGCCTAGGGTCAACGAGGTGACGGACCTGCTGGCTACCTACTTCAAAGGGACCAAGCGCAGAAGTGGTGAAAGCATGAACGAGTACATCACCCGCAAGAATGAAGCTTACATGCGGGCCACACAGGCCCTGCGACGAGTCCAGCCCCACTACGAGGCTGGAGACACTAGGCCACCACTGACGGCCTGGAACGCGGGTCGCCGGAACAGTGGCGAGTCCTGGGCTGTGGGTTGGCATCGCCAATGGTCCCCTTCAGGTGATGGTGACGGAGCCGCGACCGAGGGCATCACCGAGATCAACACGAGCCTCGGAGACTCAGGAGTCTCAGGGAGCAGGCTCATGGAACTGGACCGGCCATCGACAGGGATGGTCTTCCTGGCAAGGCGGGGGATGGCAGCCATACTGGCACGGCGCTGGCTCCTCTTGGAGCTGGTCCACGACCAGCGCTGACAATCGCTCGGAGAGCAGTGAGTCTGGGAGCCTCGAGCTCCTCCCAGCCTTTATCCAAGGCTGGTACTTGCTGACGGATTCCAACCTCGACCACAGCGAGAGGAACCTGGTGGTCACAGCCTTGAATGGGAACTTTAGCCCACAGCGCGTGGGCCAGGAACTACGCAACCAGTTCCCAGAGGGCGAGACTCGACGACGAGATGGCCGTCGATTCCAAGGATTCATGGGCGAGAAGGCGGAGGATGAAGCCGAGGAGGACGAGGCCTTCAACTACTCGCGCGACGAGCTCGAGGCGGATGGAATCAACGAGGAGGGCATCTCGCTCATCGCTGAGGCGGAGAGCGAAGCACAGGAGGCCCTCGCGGCCTTGCAAGAGGCCCGCCGGACCTTGAAGGATGCTCGGTTCCGCCAGAAGATGGTGAAGCAGAGCCGGAAATATTACGGCAGTGGAGGCCCTCAGCGTGGCGGTGGGTCCAACCAGCCACGACCTCCACGTGTTCGTGATGACTCCAAGTTGGACTGCCTCCGATGCGGACAAATCGGGCACCGGGCAGCCAACTGCCCAAATCGGCCTTCCGGCAGTGCGTCCCAGACGGACGTAGCCTCGGGACAAAAGACAGAAAGTGCCCCGTTCGTCTGCTTCACTGAGGCCGCCACCCGTGTGGGAACTCGACCCAAGGATGATGGTTTCGCCGGCTTTGTGCAGGACGACGAGATGCCAACGATCTCCGAGGAGGCCTTCAGCACACAGCCGACGCCTGGCACGATCACCACGCAGGAAGCAGTGAAACGCGGGATGTGTGTGATTGACGGGGGAGCGACTCAGACCATCGGGTCTGTCGCTGCTCTCGAAGCTGTGCTCGAGCAAAACAGGGTGCTTCATGGTTCCTCGCGACTTCGGAATCTTGACACTTCTAATCCTCCTGTTTTCTCTTTCGGCAACAGTACGGAGAACAAATGCTTGAGCACAGCAAAGCTAGAAGTGAGTGCCAATGGCCAGAAGGGTGAGATCAAAGTTCATGCGCTGGACCAGGGACAAAGTCCCATACTGATGAGCGTAGACACTCTGCGCTCCCTCGGAGCGATCATAGACTTCAAGTCGGACTTAGCTGTGTTCCGGGCTTTGGATGATAAGCGGGTTATTCATCTTACTCGGGGCCAGTCGGGTCATCAGTTGTTGTCTTTGACCGAAGACTGGATGACACATGCAGAGCCGACCACGTGTGCCGTTCCAGGTCTTTCCAGCTACCTGAGTCGCTAGGGACAGCTCCTTCCTGACCCCGACCCTGAGGGGAAAAGGAAGGTCACAGAATTGTTTTCAGGGAAGCCTCTGTCCAGTGCTGCCGCTGATCACTCTCGGGGTATGAGTCAGATTAGCTGTAGTACTCAAGGGGGAGCTAGGGAAGGTGAAACTTTGGATTTTGAGTCAGGATGCACAGGAGCGCAGTGCAGTGCAGTTGTCCGTGAAGAGTCAGACATGCCGCGAGACCCAGCACAACCTCATGGTGGCCATGATTGCAGCAATCCTGGCTCACCTCATAGTGCCCCTGCTGTACATACTCGTGATCTACGCCATGGACAGCATGAACCGCAAGGACCTGGTGCTGCACCTTCAGGCTTTCGGGGAGGAACCCCCGGAGGCTTGGACCAAGGTGGAGTTGAAGCAGCGCATCCAGGACCTGATGGATCAGGGCGAGATGCCAGCCATGAAGAGCAAGAAGGAGCGGACCGAACTTCAGATGGCTACCACGGCCATCAACCAAGCGAGTCGCAAGAAGGCGGAGCTGATCCGCTTCGCCGAGGAGCACTACGGGATCCAGGCGACGTCCAACGACACCATCGGGACCCTCCAAAGGAAGCTGATGGCTGCAGCTCTGGCCAACACTCGGCCCCATGGCGACGACCTCATGGGGTTTGGGAAGTTCTCGGGCCGCACCTACCGCAACGTGATGAACGAGGAGCCCAAGTACATGGAATGGGCCCGAACCACCGCCGCCGAAGGGGACTGCTCAGCCTACCTGAAGCGGTTCGTCCGTTGGGTGCAGAACTATGCCGATGCGGAGATCTCGGAGGAGCCTGCGGTCAAGACCCCGCCGGTGCGCAAAAGCAACCCGAAGGCCCACACCAAGGCCATGGCGAAGAAGGGCTACGAGCCGCCCAAGGGCGAGGGGATGAACAGTGCCAGCTCCACGAACGAGGCGATGCAGAACCTGACCATGGTGGTGGCCTCACTTGTCCAGGAGGTGAAGACACTCAAGGAGGAGCGGGCCGAGGAGCGCGCGGAGATGCCGCGCAAGTTTGTGGCCAGGGATGCGGAGATGAACCAGAAGGACAGCAGTTAAGCTTGCAGGCCGCACGGGTTCTGCAGCAGAAATCACAGGACCTTGTTCCGAGGTTGTTTGAAGAAGTTGTGGGATGTGAGCGAGTAGGATTGCTTGAAGTCACGAGTGAAGCCGATAGCAGTTTAGCCAAAACCTTCCACACGAGGACCGGCCGCAGTGACAGCGCTAGCACATGTGCGCTGTGGTGCGGGCATGATCTGTCAACCTCAGAAGGGCTCGCTGTGATTGTGGAACAAGTTAGGACCCTTAGGCCCCGTCACACGTGGATTTCCCCTCCTTGCAGTGCGTTTTCTCCGTTTCAGAGTATCAACCAGCGGTGTCCTTCTCAAATCCAAGACCTCAAGGCCAAGAGGGCCCACGCCACACGGATTCTGGAGAATGTCATTGAAGTTGTCAAAGTGTGCATTCAGCTTGGGTGTCATGTCACAGTCGAGGTTTCTGAAAGGAATGAGGCCTGGCGACTTCCTATCATGCAGGATTTGCGGTTTCAGATGGGGTTGCACACTTGTGTGGTTAAGGGCTGTGCCGTGGGCTTGAGAGGGGAAGATGGTCAGTTACTTCAGAAGGGATGGCGATTGGTGACTAGTCACGCTAGATTGGCTGACCGACTGCACAAGCCATGTAGATGTGTGACCAGTTACCGTCATGCTAAGTGTGAAGGCCGAAATGCCAAGGGATTGGGACGCTATCCTTCTGAGTTCAGCCGTTTGGTGTTTGAAGCTTTGAGCAAGGAGGGTGACTTTCAAGGGATTGTTCAGGAGTGTTCCGGAGAGTCGTGCCTTCATTCGGAGTTTGGGCTAGGCTTGCGATGCACTTGCAAGGAGCGACGTGCCCAGGGCGAGTGTGGAAGCTGTGTGGTTCAGAAGAGAGAGACTGAAGAGCGAGGGGAAGCCTACATGAACCAACTCCAAGCTCAAACCCTGGAAACCAAAGCCAAGCACAACCGCCAACAAACCGATGCCCGAACCCTGAACCACCTGCGTGAGCTCTTGGAACAGTACCCACTTCAGGGCACTGGGAAGTCCCGTAGAGATTTGGAAAAGCCCGGTGATTACATGGTGTTTGGGGGTTATGCTTTTGGTAATCACTATGGGATCACCAACCGCAGTGTGCTGTTGCCGGAGTTGTGTCGTTACATCAACCAGACCCTGAAAGAACTTATGCCCAAAAACCTCCAATGGAGTTCCTTCGTGCTCAACCATGGTAGCTGCCTGCCTGTGCATCGCGACTACAACAATGACGACCAGTACCCCAACGCAAGTATTGGGTTCGGATCGTTCGAAGGGGGAGGCCTTTGGGTTGAAGATGTTGAAGGGGTGATTGGGGTTGAAGGTAAGAGTTCGACTCGGACGAATGCCAAAGGAGAATCTGTTCAGGGGCAGGAGTACAATATCCAGATGAGGCCACTTGTGTTTCCACCAAAAGCCTGGCATGGTTCATGTCCTTGGAAGGGAGATCGATGGGTTTTGACCGTCTTTGTGAGCCGAGGGTTCCACCATTTGAGTTCGGAAGAGGTTGAGAACTTGAAACAATTAGGTTTTCCCGTGCCAAAGCCTCATCACAACGCTTGTCCTGCCGAAGCCCTCACCCAGAGCCGTAAAGCCAAGGATCCCGACGAAGCCATTCGGAAGCAGTTGTACTTACTTCACTGTGCGACTGGTCATAGCCACCCCAAACATATGATACAAGCCCTCAAACGTCGTGGAGTGGATGAGCGGACCATTCGTTTAGCTGAGGCCTTTCAGTGTCCCGTGTGTCAAGAGAAGCGAAAACCCCAAAGCCGGAACCTCGCTGCCCTGGAACCCTTGCCCCCGAAGCTTGCGACCATAAGTGCTGATGTTGGGCATTGGGTGCATCCTCATTCTGAAGAGAGCATCAATTTCATGCTGGTGATTGACGAAGGTTCCCGGTTCCGAACGGCTAGAGCTTTAACAAAGGGAGCGCGCCAAGCTCCCAATGCCCAAACCTGCCTCCACTACCTGCAGGAGGGCTGGGTCCAGTACTTTGGACACCCGCGGTGTCTGAGGCTCGATCCGGCAGGAGCCTTCCGTAGCCAAGCAGTAGAGGACTGGTGTGATAAGCATGGCATTTTTCTGGATGTAGTACCGGGAGAAGCCCACTGGAAGGTGGGCACATGTGAGAATGCTGTGGGTGGTGTCAAAGAGGTGATGTCTAAGCTTTGCCAGTATGATGAACATCTGAGTGCAGAAGAGGCCTTGTCTGAAGCAGTTACCGTTTTCAACCACAAGGAGCTGGTGAGAGGTTTCTCCCCAGCTCAACACCTGTTGGGACAGGCGCCTGACGAGACAGGGCGGTTCTTGGCCGCTTGTGACCAGTTGCCTCCAGGGCTGTTGTGTGAAAACGCAGATGGAGAGTTTGCGCGATCGGTGAAGTTGCGTGCAGAAGCTGAGAAGGCTCAGTCCGAGTGGAGTGCCAAGCAACGCATTCTGAGAGCCAAGCACTCTAGACATCGTCCATGCTACAACTACCAACCTGGAGAGCTGGTGTTTTACTGGAGATGTCAAGACTCAAAGAAGGGCAGGCGCCAACCAGGCGGCAAACACGGCAGGTTCCTGGGCCCAGCGCGTATCCTGGCGACAGAGTCAAGGAAGGACGAAGCTGGCCAGATCCGCCCCGGAGGGGCGGTGTGGCTAGTGAAGGGCCGCAGCCTCTTAAAGTGTAGCCCCGAGCAGCTACGACGTGCTTCCCAGCGGGAAGAACTCCTGGAGGCCCTTGCGGGGCCTCACGAACAGAGGCTCCCTGGACGTTCCACACCGTGGCGGAACAGATCGGGGGAAACCGCTACGAGGACATCTCCAATGAGAAGCCCGACGACGCAGAGTGGAACCGGGCCCAGCGCCCGGACGAGGAGGTGCAGCCTACAAGGTACCGACTCCGAACAAAAAGGCCCGTCGCTGCTACGACACCAGACGATGTGGAGATGGAGCCGGAATCTACAGACCTTGGAGGCGAGGCAAGTGCCTCCCGCCATCGCTCACGGAGCCGCGAACGCAGGTCTGGACCTAACGAAGGAGTACCGGAGCAACTGGTGGCCACGGCTTGGTGGAGTGACATCAAGGAGCCAGATTGGCCAGATACTCAGTCATCCTACTGGGCAGACACACAGGCCGCCATCGAGATCGCGATTCCTCTACCAGACTCCAAGCGAGGCGCAGACCGCGCTTGGCGAGACTTGGGCGCCTACTTTGTTGGTAGCATGCGTCGTAGAGCCGTGGAGCTATCGGAAAGGCGAATGTCAGCTGCAGAATTGGAGGCTTTCAAAGGAGCGAAAGCCATCGAGGTCAAGAACTTCGTGGCTTCCAAGGCCTTTGAGGTCCTTCCTGCACACCTGAAACCGGACCGACAGCAGGCGATTGGCATGCGATGGATCTTGACGTGGAAACTGAAGGAGGATGGCTCGCGAAAAGCGAAAGCACGCGCGGTGCTTTTGGGATATCAAGATGGCTCGTACGAACATCGAAAAACGACATCACCTGTCATGACGAGGCAGACTCGCCAACTACTGTTACAAATGGCAGCTTGGCGCCGATGGCAGGTGCAGAAGGGGGATGTGACTGGGGCTTTCCTGCAAAGCCGCACTTATCCTGACCAGTTTTATTGTATCCCATGTCCAGAAATAGGCCAAGCATTAGGCATTGAACCTGGCAGCATCACGCGTGTCAAAAAGGCTTGTTACGGCCTTGTGGACGCTCCTCTGGAATGGTATCGTTCAGTGGATTCATTCATGAAGCAGATCGGCTTTGAGCGCTTGTGGTCAGATTCCTGTTGTTGGGTGCTCAGGGAGAATGGAGTTCTACGTGGAATGGTCAGTGGGCATGTAGACGACTTTCTGTTTGCTGGGAAAACAGGGGACAAGCTGTGGGAGTCCAAGCTTCAGGCCATTCGTGAGCAGTTTAAGTGGGGTGACTGGGAGTCTGGGAAGTTCACTCAGTGTGGGGTGTTGGTTGAGGCTACTTCGTCGGGTTTTGAACTCTCTCAACCCCAATACCTTGACAATCTTCATGAGATAGGTGTGAACTCTTCCAGAAGAAGACAGAAAGACGAACCCACTAACGAAAGAGAGCGAACCCAACTCCGTGCCTTGCTAGGAGGATTGAGTTGGCACGCTCAACAGATCGCACCGTATCTGGCAGCGGAAATAGGGTTATTACTGACTGAGGTAACCCGCTCCACCGTTGACACGATGATTCGGGCGAACATCCTCTTGGCGCAAGCGAAGGCGAAGCAGGGCTACAAGATGAAGATCCATGGTCACGACCCGAATTCCGAGGTCATGTTCGTGGCCTGGGTCGACGCGGCGAATGGAAACCGAGTGGACGGCGGCTCCACACAGGGCATCTTCGTTGGGGCGACGACTACACGCATCATGGAGGGCGACATTTGCGACGTAAGCCCAGTGAGCTGGGCTTCGCAGAAGATCGACAGGAGCTGCCGCTCCCCTGGTGCCTCAGAGGCTCAAGCAGCGGTGAATGGAGAAGACACCCTGTACTCGATTCGCTTCCAGTGGGGCGAAATGCTGAATGGAGTGCCAGACCTACACCGGCCTGACAGTGTGGTGAGAGCTGTGAAAGGCTGTGTCGTAACAGACAGCCGCAACGTCTACGACAAGTTGGAGACTGAAGTCCTGGTGGTGAACGGCGCGGACCAGCATCGAGATGCTGGGGGTGAAAGAATCACAAATCTGTACGGAAGTACAGATGCGGTGGGTCCATAGTGAGGCTCAGCTGGCCAACACCTTGACGAAGGCTGGGGCAACTCGCGAGTACGACTTGTACTACAAGATGGGACATCGGTGGCGCTTGGTGGAGGACCCTACAATGATGTCGGCAAGGCGGAGGAAAGAGATGGGCCTGCAGCCTCTTGAGCAGGCTGACAAGAAATCCAAAGTTAAAGGGGTTAGTGATCTAGAGAGTGATCAGCTACAGCCAGAGCCAACAGAGCTCTAAATCTTTCTTCTTGGGAGATGGGGGAGCATGCAAGTTCGAACGAACTTCCGGCCCTTCAGTCACTGCTGCAGGAACTTCGTGCCTCCGACAGCTGGCAGTGTGGATCAAAAGGAGGCCCGTTCCGACAGGCCAGGGGGTAGACGTAGCTCCGTAGAAGCCGAGCCATAACACCTCTGACTTCGTCGTTTACTCCTCAGACTGCCGAGCTCGACCTTTGAACTACTGTTGCTACCACTTTCAGGGGATATGTCAAGAACATGGTCCGAAGAGTCTGCATGCTCTCACCCAAAATCCCAAAGGTGATCCTTCTCTGCACACTGCGGGCTGCAGAAACCGAGGCCAAGAATGCTCGAGACCTGGGTTGGCAAACCCCATAGCGGAGTATGGAGAGGCCATAGCGCAGTCTCTTCAATCCGACCGATGCACTTCAGAGCCGCCTTACATCACCGAGATATCCTGGTGCAATTCCTAGAGTCAGTGGGCTTTGGAGATGCCCTGGCATTGGTTAAACGCTTCCGCTGATACTAAACCCTAGACTCCTAAACAACTAAACCCAAAACACCTTAAGTCCTGAGCCCTACGTCTCATTCTCATTCTCATGGTTTCCATCATTGGGCTTCGGCACTGGGCTCAGCGGGATCTAGTGCAGGGCTTTGGACTTTTAGGGCTTAGGGCGGGAGGTTTAGGGTTCAAGGTTGGGATTTTGGGTGTTTGGGCTAGTGTTTTGTATGTGCGGTAGCGACTACGTAAGGCATCAGCAACTGGTTATGGGTGGGGGAGGTTATGCTGTCTAGCTTAACTATCCATGGTTCAAGACAATCATCATCCTTACCAGAGCAAAAGCAAAAGACAAACAATGTACATCTCAGGCAGTCCCAATACCTCAAACACCCAACTCAAGGTGCAGAGTTGTCGTGGCGCCGCCGGCAGCCGCGTCGACGGCAGGGCACTGCACCCTGCTCCAGCGCTTCGTTGAGGGAGAGTCGCTCCTGGTCCGCTTTTACTTCCTGTTGAGGGTTTGGAAGGGTTCGTGTGCTGAACCCACGCAGATTGCAGAACTCACGGAACTACGTGCACAAAAGCCAAGCAATCATTGTGGGTTGAGGGGGTTGTCATGAAGATGCAGATCCTGACTGCCAAGTGCAGGCCCAATGCTTGGCCCCGCCCTTGAGATCTAATATACGTCCTCGCCTAGTTTACTGCACAATACTCCAATGCCAAAAAGGCCAGCCCAGCTAAACCTTCGACTACGACTTTCTATCTGGAACCCTGATCCTGGTCGCGAAAGGCTTGAAGAGCCTTCTCTCGCAGTTGGCTGAGGTCCTTCTGTGCAGCTGAGCTTCGTGAGCTCCCACACTTGAACATGTTCTTGCTTTTCGCACTGGAGCACTACAAGTTCTACGCATACGGTCTTTAGTATTTCCATTTGTCCAGCCTGTACAAGTCGCTGACTGATGTCTGTTCTCACCATATGGTTTTTGGCAAAAGAAGCAACATTCATGAATGAACTCCCACTTCGCACCTCTGCCAATACTTTGATGGCATTTTGGAACAAAGCCCGGAAACCCAAACGATGCAGGAATGCCAAAGGCATGGCCCACCTTAGACACTGTCCATATACACCAAGCACCCCATAGTCCATGAAATTCAACCGTTTGTAAAATCAAGTGCACCTGCAAGTAGCTCATGCCGACAGAAGCGAAGTATGAGGGTGGGCCAGCTTGTGCAGTCGGCACATCCCCGACGATCCCCGACGACAAAGCACTTCCGAACTCCCACGTGGCGCTGTCCCCATTCTCCACCAGCTGCTTGCTGCGCTTCGAACGGGTACGGTTGCTGGCCTCCGGTGCAGGTCAGGATGCTTTTGCAAAGCATCTGTCACGCTTGCAATGATACTGACGGGCGTCCCAATATTGCCACCGTTGAAAACCAACACTTTTCATCCTCATCCTTTTGTTGCATGTGCAAACATTATCACGATTTCCATCTGCAGCTGTGCTGTATATGGACACATGTATGAGCGAAAGAACACATACAGACATACATATATGCTAAAGATCCCGAAAGGGTGAATAATTGACCTCTTGGCTTATGCCACTGCAGCAGGGGTAAACGTCCCCTGCCCAGACGCTAAATGGATTGGGCCCGGACTTGGCTTCGTTGGCATAGCGGCCCAGGATGACATTACAGATGGTGCTGCAGCCCTGGGCAAAAAAGCCCGACCGCGCCAGAACTCGACACAATCCTGCATGGTGTTAGCTTCTGGCGGAAATGGACCGTCTCTGCCAGCAGCTACAGCTACAACCACAAAATCTTCACTGCGATGCACCTGTTCCTGAATTTTGATCTTGCAGACGTTCAGACGCAGAATGACCAGTGTAAGTGGCAAACTCCCTCATGTGTTTCTCGCTTCAGTGTAAACAAGCTATCATCGTTTCGAGCCTGCTTTCGGCTTTCTGAGCAAGGCACTGGTTGAATTTCCTACGAGTAAAGGATTCTGATTCTCCTGCAGCAACCTGCCAAAGCCATTCTGTTGGTAAAATGGCGCAGACTGCAGACACTGTAGACTCCGCACAGTTGGGCACAGGTTCAGTCAACTGGGCTACCTGAGCAACCTATACAACTGATAGTACGGAGTCTCTGCACGCCCGACGCTTGCCTATGCAGAAAGGTTTCATTCATGCGACAAGGTTGAACGATGACAAGTTTGGGGCGCAACTTTGTAACTTTAGGTAAATCCACACAGCTTCTGACTGTCAGATTCGTGCTTCCTTCAACCCCAAAGGGTGGGTCTCCAAGGACACAAGTGTTGTATGGGGTAAAACGGATTCTTATGCCGGGATTCAGACCTGCAAGTAACGAGCATCAATGGCGCACCCTGTGCTTAAACTCAGAAGGCTGAAGGTTAGGGTAAAAGAAAGCAAAGGTCTTTCCCTGTGGTGTTGCTTGGGCCGGAGTGATTCAAGGGCACCCCTTCACTGCAAGCATCCTATGAGTGGGTTGAGTCCGGTTCCGTTTCACTTTGCCCTGGACCTTTGCCCTGGCGCCTCCTGCAGGATGTGCTCGAGGTCGGCAACAGCATCGGCAACCCCATCCCCCCGCTCATCCTCCGGAAGTGCACAAAGACCTGCGGTAGGCAGATAGATCAGTCGACAGTCCAGACCCCTGACCAAGTAGCCAGGAGTTCCCAAAAAGATCGGCTAAAGGGGTTTGGGTTTACGTCACATTAGTGCAGGGCGGCTGTCTCCAAAGTTATGTGTTGACCTGAAGAACAGCACAAGGCAAAGGCCACTCTGTTGCAGTCCGACTGCAGGCTGTGAGTGTTTCGATTGTTCAAGACTTACAGACCTCGGCTTGCTAGTCTCTTGACACATCCTCGTTGGCAGCAAGTCTTCAAACAAAACAACCCGTCTTTCTCGCGTGCCCCCACCCAGCCGCCCGGCAAGCACATGCTTTTTTTTCTTTCACGAGATGGCTGGTCGCGAGCCCTTGCTCGAACGGTCGCCCGACCCGGTTTTGTCAGAAAACCGGGTCAGGACTTACAGCACAACCTCTCTAACTTTAGGCAATAAGCCGATGACCCCGACAAGCGTCCTCAGGGGTCACCCGTCTTCTCCTCACCTCCTACTTCTTCTTTCCTTTATCAGTACCTGAGTACAGGATGCACGTGGGGAGGGGACCCTAGGGAACCTCCCCCCTACGAAGAGGTCCTGGTCGTCCCTCTTGATGTAGAGTCGCCGAAGCGACCAACACCCGGACAACCATTAAGAGGTAACCCCAGGGAACACAGGGTAACCAGGGAAGCCCTGAAACCTAAACCCCTCCATGTCTTGGTGGTCGGTACCAATCCATGCTCCGCCGACGGGCTGGCTGAGCATGGCGCTGACGGTCTTCCCAAACGCGCATTGAACAACAACTGAGCATCGGGATCCCGAGGGGTACCCTGCATACCTACCCCACGGAAGTGGTCAGGCACCAAGGTTCCCCATGCGCTCTCTGGCGCGGCGCGCACTCGGGCGCTAACGCTTTCCAGACGCTGTACACCCCCTGAATGAGCGCTGGAATCAGGTGGTTAACCCATACTCCACCCTTCTTAAGCCTTTTTTCCAGAAATCCAAGCTAGAGTTGGGTGGGTTATCTCCAGCGGGCCAGAAGCCCAGCTGGTACCTGGTGACACCCTCGAGCCACAGCTCGACGAGGAGTTTACAAAGACCTTGCCTCCGGCGATCATTGGGTTGTTATTGTTAGCACTGCGTGCAATGCACAACAACCCGTCGTTCTCGCGTGCCCCCACCAGCCGCCCGGCACGCACAGCGGCTGGTCGCGAGCCCTTGCTCCAACCCGACCCGGTTTTCTCAGACAGCCGGGTCAGGACTTACACTACTTCTTCTTTCCTTTTTCAGTACCTTGGTACAGGAGGCACTTGGGGAGGGGGCCCTAGCGAACCTCCCCCCTATAAAAGGGTCCTGGTCGTCCCTCTTGATGTAGAGTGGCCGAAGCGACCAACACCCGGACAACCGCGAAGAGGTGACACAGCGGAACCAGGGAAGCCCTGAAACCCAAACCCCTGCCGGAAGGCGCGGACCCTGGGCTCGGGACGCACTCAAACTAGAATCCCGCTACCCGTTCACCAAGGCCGCCACTGCAATTTCTTGCACGATCCGCGCCTCAGTGATCTTTCACGCGCGAATCAGGTGCCACAGCACCCATCTCGGCCCACTTCCAGCCACACGCCGTATAGACCAAGTGCGCGGCGGGCCCGTCAGCAACGCAGCAGCTGCATGTGTCACAGCCTGGCGGTTTCTCGAACGGAACCTCGACCGCTCCCCCGGACGTGTGGCTTTGGCCAGCTGCCTCGGCGGCTCTGTTGGTCGGGGATAACGAAAAAAACCTCTCAGTGGGCGTAGAGGGCTCCCTCCTACCCCCCAAGAAGAGCCGGCCCCAAGGCCGCGCGTGGCCCGTGGTTTCGAGAGCTGGGCCACCCTTGCTTCCCACTTCTCTTTCAACCAGCACGCCGGGCAGTGGGAAGGCTTTCGTCGCCGCAGACGCAGGCACACCTCGTAGCTCTCCCAACCGCCAGACCCGCGGAACCGTAAAGCACGGCGCTCTTGTACTTTCTCAAGCACAGGAAGAAAAATTCATGAGAACTGGCCCTTGGATCATGAGAAAAGTCCTTCTGCAAATAGAGAACCAGTGGCATCCGATGCAGTTATCAGCCTTACTTTTAAGCCTGGACCGTGACCTGAGGACCTGTGACTGTCACTGTCACTGCGGCCCAAGATTCGGATTCGATTGCCTGGCTGACCAGCCAGACCCAGTGTAATCTTGGATTAGACTAGCCTCAGGCTCAGTGTAATAAGCTTCGATCGGGCCTGGCTAGCCAGGCTCAGTGTAAGCTTCGATTGCCTGGCTAGCCCCTCAGTGTGTCAGGTTCAGATTCAGTGAGGCTGGCAAATTTCTGGGTAATAATTCACTGATTCTGATGGCCACGGGTGTGTGATCCTAATCCCTGAAACCCCTGAAACCTCAATGAGTTGATTGACTTGCTCATTTGACATGCTTGCTGTTTGTTGGCCACCGACTCGAGCCACAGCCGTTTGCTTCGGCTTCGGTCCTGCCGGCTAATCATTCCACGGCAGGAGGGGCAGTAGCTCTCTGATGAGCAGCCAGTATGGCATCATGGGGCTAGGTCACGCCCACTGTCGCTCGATGTTGTTCCCACCAATAAACTCTGACGGTGATTCGATCTCCTGGTCTTCCTTGGCGGGCGGGGTTCCACGAGGCTTGCCGGAGGAAGTCCGATCGAAGGGCAGTACATCATCCCCGTTGGAATGAGGCTTCCCACGTTGGCCGGGCGGGGGTGGCGAGACTCCAGGAGAGCACATTCGTCTATTGCAACTAGACGCCGGGAAGGGCACTTGAATTGCATCGTTTAGCTTGATGCGAGTGATTGTGCTTGCATCGGCTTGCTTGGTATTCGGTGCTTTGGTCTTGCATGACATGACATGTTATCGTTGATGCCACCGACCCGCACCACAGTCGAACTAGTTTCGACTACCGCTTGCCTGTCAACAGTCTCGGATGTCAGGACCGGGATGCCATGGGCCGACCGATCCGACTAGTCTGTATCGGTGCCAGTGTTGTCAGCGAACTCTGCGATCAGGCAGGACGCACGAGAACACATGGACCCCGGAGAGCTCAAGACTTGTGTGGCGTGGGCTGGGCGGCAGCTATGCAGTCCCTGAGTCGTCTCCGGGTGACCCACGTTGGCCGGGCGGGTGCAGGAGAGCACATTCGTCTATTGCAAGGCCCATCAGCACTTTGACTTGTCATGATCTTATTGCCAACATTGATTGCATGATTGCATGCATCCCCACCAGGATGCGCCAAAAAGCTTCAAAATGAAAGCATCAAAAAATTGTCAAAGTGTGCCAAAACAAAATTAAACGAAAACAACACAAGTAGCCAGGAAGTTTGAAAAGACTGAAGCGGTGGCCATACGAATAATTTCGCAATTGTGATCGCAGAGACTCCTCTGCAGCGATCTCTGCTGCCACCCTGTTGCAGATGGCTTCCTTGGACGTGAGCTTGGCGGTGATTTGTGCGGGCCGATGAGTTGTCCAACTGGGCCGTAGAGGCAACCGCTTTGGAAGCGAGCCACGGGCGCCAGAGACGAGGCTGGAGAGGAGGGCCAGCAGCTCATAGGCTGTCATGTGTCCTGGACGCCATCGGGTGGAAACGCGTTATTGTGGGCAGATTTGCACCCAGACCAGCCCCTTCTCAAGTGAGGGGCGGTCCCGAGGCCGCAGGGCACGCCCCTACCCTACAGGCGAAGAACGCACCCTTGGCGTCTCTGACCACCGCAAACCCTCTTTCGGCCTCGACGATCCTGAGGTTCAAGAAGGCTTCGGAGATGTCCACGGTAAGGAGCTCGACCTCGCGCGACTCTCATTTGAGTTCTGCGTGTAGCTAGTCGAAGCGACACCACGCAAAAACTCATAGGACGCGAGCTGCGCCTCCTTCGGCTCGGGCTTGGGGAAAACGTTTCGGCCCACGACCTTGTCCGAGATCCGCAAAAGTGTTTTCCCCTCCTCTGTCTCCTTGCGCGGGGCCCCAGCTTCGCCTCCGCTGTGCCGGCCTTCTCCATTAATGGTCCGAAGGAGGCGGCCCAAAGGCAACACTTCACACAAGGAGGGCCTCAGCAGGCCTCCGCTCCTGGTTCATTGGCGCTGCCGGCGTCTTGGCTCGGCTGTGTTTCCGGGAATGCCCTGCGAAGGTTTGCGCCTTTGGCCCGACACAGGCTTTCAGGGCCTCGGGGTATGCGGCCGCCATAGAGGTGCACTCCACACCCATGCGTTTCAGCGCTCAAGGGCCTCCGCCGGCAAGGCGAGTGGGTTCCTCAGCCTCGCGGCTCCTGCCTTCGAGCTATGGCCTCAGCCGATGGTCCCGGCGCGGGGTGGGGGCACGTGTATCCACGCCGGCTTGCGCTTGCGGATCCGCTCCAGCACGCCCACAACCCCCAAGATACATGACAGTTCGTGACGGCGAGACCCTGGCCCAAGCTTGATGTGGGCGACGACCATCAGGTCGTTAATTAGGGGCGCACGTCTGCATATGAACTCATGTTAAGTAGCAAAACTGGCGAAACACTCGCAAATTGCAGGTACGTTTTCACGGCAAAACTGGATGGGTCTTCGGCCCAGGCCATCCAGTTTGTCCCTGGGCCCCCTGCTCTCCAAACACGCCATCAGCGGACTCAAGGCTCAAGAAGGTCTGGGCAAATGCCCCAGCGTAGATACATGACTGGAAAGAAGAAACACGCAATTGGAGGACTCCAGGCTCAAGAAGGTCTGGGCCTGGAGAAGAAATGCACAAGTGCACCTGCTCAGGTTTGTCGCTTGTACAGCTGAGTTACACAAACGCCTAGCGGAGGGCCGAAAGCATTACAGAAGGTGCATGCGCATATGTCGGTTACAGACCAGCAATAGTTCGCACAATCAGAGGACTCCAGGCTCAAAGGATGGTCTGGGCCTGGAGAAAAATGCACAAATGCGATCAAATGCGACCGCACAGTCACCTTGAGGCCACTCCAGGGCAATATCAAGGACTCACGCAACTGTACCAATG